TATCATAGTGTAATATAGCAGTCCAATAGTCATCTCCGAGGATTAGAGTCAACTGAAGCTTCAAACATCTGGTAGAATTTGGTCCTTAGTGCCCTTATGCCATACATATTTAGATCAAATAAGCAAACTGAGAAATAAGAGGAGGATATATGGAGAAGAAATAGAATTGAATTACACAGATTTATCTTTTTCAAAGACTAAGATGAAATTGGCTATATTTTCTTATAATATTTGTATTATGGTTATTTTCTTATGGTAATAAGCTTGAATTCACATGGCTCAGACACAGATGCACATTAGTTGTAAATGTATTAGACATTGCTGATGAGAGATAATGTTTTTTCTGATTATCATTGCCAGTTTTTAGTGGCAAACAGATGCCTTGTTACATAAAGGTGTTTTTCATTTTTAGAGTCTGCAGTAACAAGTCAGTGTGGGAATCTTTGCTAACACTTACAGTCAGAAAGAAAGAAGTAGCTCAGCTCATTGCATAAGCTTGTGGGAAGTGAAAGTTACAACATTTTAGGTATGATTCAGACATCCATTGGGATATTTATTAATTATTTAAAAACACAGATCCCTAAAGAATCGCTCATTCCCTGTCACAGAATTCCAGCAAGTACTTTTACATATACCGTATTTTCACGACCATAAGCCGCACCGGGTTAAAAGCCGCAGTATCAGTTAACGTTAATTTTTCAAACTTTTTTCATACATAAAGCGCACTGGGTTATAAGCCGCCCCAACGGAGGGGCGCCCTAAAAAAAAAAAAAAGGAGCCAAGCCGTTCCAGAGATGTGAAGGGAAGCTCCGGGCGAGAAAGCGGCTTTCAAAGCTCCGTCGAGCCCCGCATGTGGATTTATTTATTATTTGCTCGGGCATCCGGGCCACCTGTTCCTCCGGGGGCAGCCCAAGCCTTTGAGCGGCGAGCGGAGCTTTCTCCCAAAACGGCGCTTCTGCTCCCCTTTGGCACTTTGCTTTGGGAGAAAAATGGAGCGTGACGGACTTTCCAGCACAGATCAGAAGCTGATCCAGGAGAGCTGGCAGAAAGTGAGCAATAGCCCCCTGGAGCACGGCGTCATCCTGTTCACCAGGTAGGGCAAGATAGGTTG